TCCAATTTCACACAGCCAGTTTGTTATTTTAGGGATCCATGCAGATCTAGAGTCCTTGAACGGCATTTACATGTGATACACATGGCAACAATTTTAATGGATGTCAACTTCTTCATTGTGATGGACATGACGTACGAATATTCCGAAACGTCGTGTCCATCACCAAAAAAAGTTGACATCCATAAAATTCTTGCCTTCATGCAGATCTAGATATTTCACAGGTCTAATCTACCAAGTCACTTGGGAACCTATTCAATTTACACACGCAGTTTGCTTCTTTTCAAATCATATTTCTTTCAGAGACACTACTTATAGTCTAAAGTTATCAAAGGGCAATAGTTTTAACTATATATCGCTTTCAACACGGTTACAAGGATGACCATATTGTACCATTTTAGTATTTGAAAAATGTACTTCGTCTAAAACTTTGGAAGTCCCAGTAAAGTTCAGGTAAGTAATTCTGTCACGATTTTTTTTCTCAGCCATATCCAAAACTGTTCCATCACCATAGGAGATATAAAATGAACCTGAATGTTTTACGATTTCAGCCATATCTAAACTAAAACTGTTCCATCACCATAGAAGACCTGGTTCGATAAAATGAAGCCCATTTCCTGAATGTTTTACGATTTCGTGTGTACTCTAAACTGGACTGACATCTAGAATCGGACATGAACATATTTTAAGAGAAACCGTTCTTAATTTGAATTAAAAGAATAATAAAAGGAGCCAGGGTTTTTAATTATATTTAGACCTTCATAATATCCTACATGAAATCTAGACTTGCCACTTGTTACCGACTTTCGCTGGCTTTCTTGGATATGTTTTCTCCAGGATATGTATGGCAGAGTGACATGGGTTAAAGAATCAGTATGTGTAGTGATGGTGTCAGATGTATAACCCCCACCCTCAATACACAAACCTGTAGTAATATCTGTAGTGAAACGACTAAAGTTCTGAAACCTGTCGTGCAACCTGTAGTGAAACGCCAAACGTTCTGAAACCTGTAGGGAAACCTGTAGTAAAACATGTAGTGAAACGCCAAACGATCTGAAACCTGTAGTGAAACGACTAACGATCTGAAACCTGTAGTGAAACGACTAAAGTTCTGAAACATGTAGTAACGAAAACCTGTAGTGAAACGACTAAAGTTCTGAAACCTGTAGTGAAACCTGTAGTGAAACGACTCAAGTTCTGAACCTGTAGCGAAACCTGTAGTTAAACGTTCTGAAACATGTAGTGAAACCTGTAGTTCTGAAACGAAACAAAGTTCTAAAAACCTGAAACATGTAGTGAAACCTGTAGTGAAACGACTAAAGTTCTGAAACCTGTAGTGAAACCTGTAGTGAAACGACTCAAGTTCTGAAACCTGTAGCGAAACCTGTAGTTAAACGACTAAAGTTCTGAAACATGTAGTGAAACCTGTAGTGAAACGACTAAAGTTCTGAAACCTGTAGTGAAACGACTAAAGTTCTGAAACCTGTAGTGAAACGACTAAAGTTCTGAAACCTGTAGTGAAACCTGTAGTGAAACGACTAAACTGTTCTGTGTAGTTAAACGACTAAAGTCTCATGTAGTGAAACCTGTAGTGAAACGACTAAAGTTCTGAAACCTGTAGTGAAACGACTAAAGTTCTGAAACGACCTTTCTGAAACAAACCTGTAGTTAAACGACTAAAGTTCTGAAACCTGTAGTGAAACCTCTGAAACCTGTGTGAAACCTGTAGTTAAACGACTAAAGTTCTGAAACCTGTAGTGAAACCTGTAGTGAAACGACTAAAGTTCTGAAACCTGTAGTGAAACGACTAAAGTAAATATCTCACGGTTCAGTCAACTGATAACTGCACAATGAACAAAGCGATCATTACTTACACATGGTTCAGATGCATGACAAAGGTAAGAACAACGAAGCTGTTTAAAATGGCATCAATCGTCTAAAACAAAACCAGCCATGAAACTTTCATATCCATCAAAGTCACATTAACCAAAATAAAACCAGGAAACCTAATTGACGCAATTTAAAGCACCATCCGTTACCATGGCTACCAGAATATCATACGTTTTCAAACAGCATCTTATTAGCCATGCTGTGTTGTAATTACCCATGTGTTCTTTATTGCAAAACAGCCTGAACATCCTGGAAATATCATTTTGTCAAAACGGGCGTTGATCAATCATTTTCTGTTTTATAGCAAAACTAATCAAATGTCCACAAGTTCACAAAGACACTCAAAGCAATATTTCGTCATCGCCTTAAAATAAATTCTCTGATCTGAGTGCCATTTCTAAAGACCAATGTGCACTTGAAATAGGCATCTCAGATACTCTATTGCTTGACCCTAACCCTAAAGTGCACGGATAATTCCCTAACAATAGCCAGTAAAGGATGACTCAAAGACCCCTAATTCAATCACTCGCCCCTTATTATCAGTGATCCGGCGGTGTAGAATTAAGAAGACACCGCCTTATTTAACTGACTGAACAAGACAACGCTGTGTGCCTTCGCATTGTAAAGGGCGTTGTGGGGGTTGTTGAAGCAGCGAAAGGTTCACTGATAACCCCCGGTGTTATACTATAGTGATGACATAAGATGGGGATACAGCACGTGCCCCACGTAGCATCTGGGTAGGCCCGTGTCACGCGGAGAAAAAGAAAGAAAATTATAAAAATGCAGCAAAAAGTGAAATAGCGAGTTGCATGTTGTTAATCCTGTGCGATCAATCTTGCAGATACGTAGTGGATTGTAGAGACATCTTCCTCATACTATAATTAGAATCATGATGTATTGCCATAAGTTGTCAAGAACGAGTGTTCGAAAGAGGCCCTTCGAAAGAGAGTGAATTAGAAAGAGTGAGTCTCACATAATGAGTAATGTTGAAGTAAAAGGATAACCTCAGCGCCAGAAAACAAATCTCCATCATCAGAACAGTATCTGGGTTTTAAAGTAAAATCAGCCCGACTGTCTTATGAATGTATCCTATGACACCACGAAAGTCTACCATGACACCGGGTGTTTGTGAAACGGGTAAACATGTCCTACCCTACCTGTCTCACCGCACTCATACAAGAAAATATACTCATGCCAATAATGGTTGTCACCCCCTTCGATGTTTTTAATTGGAGAGGGGAGTGTACGGGGTTGGGGTGGGGAGGGGTGACAACCATTATTGGCATGAGTATATATAAACGCAAAAACTATCACTACATCTAATCTTCCATTCGGATTATTCTCTCCACAAAGTCAAAACAAACTTAAACCCGATCATCTGTGTTGCATGGATATACAGAGGCTGTTAAAGTGCAACTGCAATGGCTTCCCGGGAGAGTAATGAACATTTCCGTGACTATGATTAACTTTCCGTTGATTCATGCGAACAAAGGTTTTGATTTCATTTCTCATATGACTTCGTAGACAAGGAAGCAATACGAAACTGTGACCTTATAACGTAGGGATACCATGAATAAAGTGAAACGATCGTGGGTGTGAAGATAAGGTACCATACACATGTATTTCCAATAAACTAAATCCTTTGGCATTTTGCCTTAATGTACAAGTGCAGACGGATGCTCTTCTTTAAGACTCGCCAGGCTGGTAGACAAGTCGGTTAAAACTGTGTCAGAAATTGGCAGTGTGTACGTCCTTGGTACTAGTAGTATAACAGGCTTTGTGGTGATGGGCGGACTAAATACGTGTTGTTGCATCTTGGGATGAAGCTTGTTGAATAACTTGAAATGTAGGCTTGTTGGCTGTGTTTAAATAGACGCATGTATTCCTATACCTTGACAGACCCTAAGTAAATTCGGCGCAAAACAAATATCACAGACGTACATTTATATACTCATGCCAATAATGGTTGTCACCCGCCTCCCCACCCCAACTCCCCAACCCCCTCCGAAACTCAATTAAAAAATTGAAGGGGGTGACAACCATTATTGGCACATGAGTATATATATATTCATCAGGGGCACGGTTCGATGTTGCCAGTCATAACGCAGTTTTATATCCACATACATGCATGTATCCCTATATATACCCTGACAGACGCTAAGTAAACTCAGCGCAAACGAATATCACAGACGTACATTTTTTTTAATATTCATTAGTGGCACGGTTCGATGTTATCAGTCATAACACATTGTTTTATGTCCAGATACATGTCTCACAGGTACACTTTTGTTAGGGGTCAGGAGACGCTCTCCCTAAACTCCTATCCTAACAATCACCTCCCCATAGCTCTCTCTCCATCCCCTGAAGTTGGGACGTATCAGGAGATCGTTAATAGGAGGTGTGCCCCGTGCAAATGCACATTGATTAAGTAGTTTATGAGTCACACAGGCCTGGCGATATTGTGACTGCAGCCATCTGTATCGGACACATCATCTCACGTGCCCCATTACACACAGACACCGATATAGATCACCAACCTTAACGATAAACAGCTTCTACATGGTGGAATCTAATACAGACATTGGATAGTGGATGGATAAATCAGAACGATATAGATTTAACTTTCTTAATAGCTTTAATAGCCTAAAGTGCTAACTGGTACAGCTGCACAAAGTCTGCCATACCATTAGCTTTTTTGTAAATCGATCAATATAAGTTCAGTTTATTATGTTAAGAGGGTTTAATATTTCATATGAATAATGATTAAATAATTATCTTCATTATAACTCAAGACTGAATTCAGATTTGTATGATTTCGACTGACTTTTAATGCGTGATCATATTTGCTGATGTCATGTCTGTGAACGGTATTTAAAAAATCAAATTACGAACAATTCCGTTGTTGTACTGTGACATTTGATAGAGACCTATGTTGATGAATGAATGAATGAATGAATGAATGAATGAATGAATGAATGAATGAACGAATGAATGAATGAATGAATGGGTGGGTGGGTGGATGAATGAATAGGGGAATGAATGAATGAAACATAAATGTAAATGAATTAAATATATTCTAAGTATACATTATAAGTAGGATGTAATGAACTCACCACAGCCTTGTTCCTCATTTCCTTGTTGTGTCTCTCTGTGTTAGATATGGCATTCGAGTATCCAAACAAAACGACTAATATACATAACTTTAGCATGATGAAAGACACGGCAGGTAGAGAGAGTCTGTCGACGGAGGAGAGGGGAGAATTACACCTGGGCTGGTCTGACCGAACGCAGCGCGAGGAATCACGTTTACAACATTTGTCCATGTTGCTACATCGAGCACATCGGTTCCTGGTCAGACAACTGGTCAGTCGGTATCCAGATTCCATCCTTTGACCAGCTCCTTATAGTCCTGGGCGACTGAGACAAAGGTAAACAAATGATGGGGCAACTTCACAAGTCCGGAGCAGTATCTCAACAGTTGGAGAAATGTTTCCTTCTCTCGGACCAAATCCTTGTTCCCGGTTAATCCTAATCCCACATTTTGCAAACAACACTGTACCCAAGCTGTTATGGGATTAACCCTTGCTAAGTCCTTCTCTCCATATGGGGGAATTATTGTCAAAACTCCCGTCCACTCCCTCGCTCACAACTCCAACTAGATCAGCACCAGTCGGCGCACGCTCCGTGTACCGGTTCTAAATATAGTCTGGCAGGAATCTACCGACTCTCCGGGCCTCCGTCTTTGAATGTGGGGAAATTGAGCGAGAGGATATAGGGCCAAAACGTGGGCTGTGTGTTCAATCTAACTAGCCGTCTTACTAGATCCGACCCAGTTAATACACCGCGCGACTTTGAGGTGCACACTGTTTCCCCACAGCTGCTAGCTGAACCCTCTAAATATGGTAGCTTGGCACTTCCTGTGTTCCGAGCAGACGACTCGCTGCCAGTCGACAGAAGCAGACGATCGTTGAGCCTGGGACTCCGCTCGGCTAGCCAGCTGAGTGAATGAATGAATGACCGTCGATCTATCCCGGTCAATTAGCATTGACACTATTCGTGACACATCCCGATCAAAGCATACAGGTAGTGCGATGTATACTGATCCCTTTACAATCCCAACAGAACGTCCTTCGTCATTCTGAGCACCTGATACACGTGTCAAATAAACGTAACGATACTGTCAGACCTAATCAGTATTTCTACCTACAGCCAGTTCATATATCTGACATACATCCCGTTCATCAGGTAAACAAAGTCTATAGTCTATATCACTATCTACGAACAAGGCAGTGCCACATCTGGCTTGTTAACGTCGCTTGACTCTACTCTGTGAACGACGTAACAACGCGACTATGGAAAGGTCGAGTGCTACAATATTCATTCAACCTGACGCGATTGTCCGCCGTTCTTCCCAGATTCTGCGGTAAGCGAGGGAGTGTTGTTACTTCAGACATGAGTCATCCAGCTTGGTGACAAACTCGGTCGATTCCACGTGGAGGCGAACAGCACAGATGTACGGTGTTAATCTGTCTCCAACACTCGGCTATAAAACAGACATTTCTTTGTCTCATCCGCCGTCACCGGTTGGTTCCCTATACGATGCTAGTGGCCATTCTTTACTTCTTTTAGTGGCATTCTATGGCATTCTATTGCAGTAAAGAAGTTGTCTATCATTAAAAACTGTTCCTCTTCGCCATTCTTACCATTTAGAAAAACGGATTCCTTGGGGACCCATGAGTCAACAATACCGTTGATATATTTCTCTGCTTTTTGAAAGCAATCTTCCCTGTATAGCTATTATTTACTTCATACATCTTTTATACATAATTATCGGAAATGAGTAATTTGTTATTGTGACGTGTTTTGTTATGAATTGATACATGTGTGTTTGAGAATTATACCAATTTCTACCCCAATATTATAAAGATTACATATTCGTACGCATACTGCGGAAATGTCGCACTCCCTTCCTCGCCTTTGTTTATGTCATCTTGTGTGCCCCGCCGTGAAATTGCAGGAAAATTGCATAAAGCGCCACAATACCAAACTCACACATTCTTTTATTTATGAAATATTTTTTAAAATGCATACGAGACATTTAACTGTCATTAATTTAACGACAGATATATGTATTCGTTTTTGTGAAGTAATCATCTGCGCGCGCCACTGTTTCACGTTTTTTGTCAATCAAACATACTCAACCATCTTTAACAAACAAACCAGTTCATCAAAATGAGCTAACTGTGATAGAGACGCGGCCTGTTTATGCATTAATAACAACCTCCGTAGCTATACCTCTTTAAATACAAAAGCACTCATGTTCCATTTATTACAATAAGGAATCAGATATCAAAGAACACCGAGAATAATCAGTCATGGTTCGCGGCACAGTTGGTATAGCCTTGGAATGAACGTAATATCGATCCGTAACCATAGTAACATTTGTATCAGCTCACATCTATCATGTACACCGGATTAATCGAGTACCGAGCAATGGGTTTAATGGCTGACAGACTGGGTTCTGTCTTGTCATTCGGACCCGGCGGGGCAGAGGCATGAATTATTAATACGGATAACAAGACAATTACTATTCCGCATCGGCGTCACACGTATGTCCTAAATGCGACCAGTTATGACATCAGTGCATTCCTATATAATAGAAATCGTCGGGTTTTAAATACTTGGGGAAATACCTAAACACCGCGGCTTCGTGGGGCCACGTAATCTGTGGGTCAAGTTATTTATATCATGTAAATTGAAAATATTCATCATGATGGAAATTCATTATATTTCATGATGGCGTGATCCTGTCTGTAGCCATCGTGTATCAGTAATAACCGACGTGAATTGATCACGTAATTGAGTGTAATTGTGGTTCTCAATAAATAACTGGAAGCACTTGGAAGATGATGGATATTACAAAATTATTTATGTCTCATTATTTATAGATATGAAATATTCTCCCAGTAGATATTAACCAATTTCAGGTTGATGATGACTATCACATCCTGCGGCGTTTATTATTAGTTTGTTACTTTTATTATTATTATTTTCTGTATTACAAAGCATTACGTTTTCTATATCAAATGGTTGTATACGGAAATTTGCTAACTTGAATTGTATTATGTCAAATGTATTTGGTATATATCCAGCTATTCTCCAGTCAGTGCGTGTTGAGTTCCATTCCAATTACGTGATAATCATTATCATCGCATCACAGCAGTCGACCAATCCCACAAACTGCCTATAAAGACCCCCACTAACCGTATTTCAAATATAATGTCGTATGTAAAAAATACGTGATATTTAATATTACAGCAATGATAATTCATGGCAGTACAAAAAAACTGAATCGATAACAAGCTTCGTGAGGGCAACGCACTGTGAGAGTAGAATGACTGTTTGCTTATTCAGAAGAGGGCGTCAAAGGAATATCTACACCGTGCTATGTTAACTTGCCGTGTTAGCAAAAGCGGGATGTCGTTCTCATCGGATGAAAACAAAACAAAGCCATGTTGGAATGACTTGTAAATTTCCCTAAAGAAACAGACATCTGAACATCTGTGAAGCAGAATAAGGCAAAGTCGAGTTTCTACATCCGTGTTTATATTGCCATTTAATGTCGGAGCATATGGAGACCACGTGGTGACAGGTCCGAGTGGAGGGCTTGCGGAGGGTTCGCAGTCCACAGACACAACCTTTGTTAGGGGTAAAATTAAACTGAACAAAAAACAATGGTCCCTTGTCCACACTCAACCATGTGTCGATTGTGATTGAAATCTCGGAGGAGGTCTTTTGTGCAGCGAAGCGGATAACTTAATTGCCGGTCATTGTACAAGCAGTAATGATAGTAATTAGCTTTTATTGTCCGCATTCGACATAATTGCGTTATTTCAGTAATTGTAATAATATCTGTGCACCTACAGTATCTACAACGAACAACCATGTGGTACCAGATATGAGTTTGTGCTGTACAAATTAATTTGCTGTTGGTAATTATAATTCTTCCATGTTCATGAACCATGTGTGGGTGATGATACTAGCCTTTCCCGTTATGAATTTCAAGGAATTTCGGTAAACATTAATTATTACTTTGTTTAAGACTTAAAATATCCTGTGTCGTAGTTGTAATCCAAGATTACTTTGTCTGGAACGAAACCTCCTTAATCGACATTTGTCTTTAGAACGTCGCTTTATAAAATCAGTAATCATACTTAAACTCCATTCAAGTTCAACTTCTACTTCTCTAGAAATGTGACTCATAACATATGTTATACTTGGTTCTTAGTAAAGTACAGATTCTAGTACTTTTGTTGGGTTGAGTCCCATCCGGGTTTCGAACCCACACCCTCAGAGTCAGGCACCTAATCGCCAGCACACAAAGTCAGCCGCCTAACCATGTTACTGAATTTCCGGGCAAATCTTTGTCTAATTTCATTAAAAACGCCTTGAACTTACAAAGGTCCTATAACTGCTGTGAACTATAGTTGAAACTCAACTCACAACTGCGTTAAACTGTAACATTTATGTACGTGGACCTAAGACCTTTTGACTGAATACAATGGTAGATTGATTGCCGGCAAAAAAACTATACACCCATGTTAGATTGTTGTCACGAGTGAAACAAATAAGAGATAGTGCGTGAGTTAAGTTTTACGCCGCTTTTAGAAATATTACATCAATACCACGGCAGGGGACACCAGAAATGGGCTGCACACAGTGTACCTATGTGGGGAATCGAACCCGCGAACGGGCGAACACTTTCACAACTAGGCTACCCCATCGCCCGGCCCAAAGCAAATAAGAAACGGCTATTAAATGGTGATGTATTCGATGTGAGTATCATAATGTTTTGGACCTTAGGTTGGCAGTGATGGACGACCGTAACGTTTTGTACATTTTGGGTCAAATTCAATTTCAAGTGCACTCGTTCTTTAGCCCGGCTGATTGCACGGCTGTGTCTGTCTACCTCAGTGTCAGATAGTCAATGGTACGGACGTATGCTCTCTGTACGGTTTTAACATTATTAATTAGCGTCTTGAGGGATATTGGTTCTTCGCGTGGCGTATCATCCCGTACACGCCATCGATTGATAAACGAGCAATTTTCATTAAAGATAATGTAATTATCGCCAATCCCTTTCAGAATCTGAGTGTAAACTGACCGGCGCACATAGTGCTCTAAAGTAAAATTCAGTTAAAATGTCCAGTGACCAGTGCGCTTTGCACATAATTGCTCCATAAGGATGCACTTGTGAGATAAATGAAAGAATTTGTTTTATAACATATCAGTCCATTTACGTCGATTTTTGTAAATATGTTTGAAATATGACAATGGGGATCTCATGGAACCTTGTTCCATGTTGGAAATTGAACCCGGTCCTTCAACATGACGAGCTTTCACATAAACCACTGGGCCACACCACCGCCCCTTTAAACAGTAGAATATGAACAGTGTTACCCAGTCTTGACCCAGTCAAATACACGGACTGTATCTAAGAACAATGTATAATATGTATTATTTTGTCATATGTTAATATTTTTCATATTATATCAATGATATAACATAAATACTACTTAAATACCAAGATTAAAGACACCCGTCTCCAACAAGACTATCCTCTTACTAAGCAAGTGCTAACATATTTGTATATACCTCGCCTCACCTACATTCTGCCTGATTGCCCGAGGTTAAACAATCATCACCTGCGCTATTGGGGATGTCAGCAACAGCCTTTGTACATCCGAAGGTGTGTTGGACAACGTCCAATCTACAGGTGCACCTCCAGGAATGGCAAATCCTGCACTGTGGAAACGGACCATCCGGTCTCGGAGGATCTGCCCACAAGCCGAGAGGCTACTTATTTCTGTTTGCGTGTGGTAGATCTGACCAGGAGAAGCTTTACAGTTTCTGGAAACATGACCGTTTTTCATGTGTCCCGAGAAATAAATGGCCGCAAAGGGAGGATGGTGTTTTTGCACCACTTTGCTGTTATATCGAGTTCGCTTGTCTGATTTGAAGTACATACGCCTGCGTGTACGTCTTTGTAGATGCACGCCAATGCTATCAATGTATTTGTCGGTCAATGCTATCAATTTAGTTGCTTGCCAATGCTATCAATGAATTTGTCGGCCAATGCTATCAATTTAGTGGCTGGCCAATGCCAACAATGTATTTGTCGGCCAATGCTATCAATGTAGTTACAAGCCAACACTTCCAATGTTGTAGTCTGTCTCACAATCCTTGAACCACATTATTTCCCCTACTGCCTAGCCGTCCCTGCAGTGTTAAAACCCTCAACAAATCAAGTCTAGATTTCCTCAGGCTCCGAATCTCTGGTCTCCCTGGGGCCCCTTTTCAATTTAAATGGGCTTGTTTGTTACTGTCAAAATTATATATATTCAGAGACTAAGCATTAGTCTACCAATGTTGTTGCAGACCAATTCTGT